TACAAAATGTATTAGACTATTGCTTCTTGAGTTATGTTGATAACCAAAAGAGTTGTACGAAATCATTACAAGATAGTTTTTTTGTGAGAAAGTAGTAGTAAAGCGGTAAAACGATTGATTTTTATCTAAATGGATTCTTAAGAACACTGTTAGAAAATTACTCTTGGAATTTCAAGTGAAAAATCTTGAAATTTGTGTATTTGTTCATTGGCGAATCGGTTAATTTCTGGAATATTCAGTCGGATACATACATACAGATCTGATCCTAAAAACATCATTTTTTCACGTTTCGTAACATTCTAGACCATTTGCAATCAAAATTAAAAAATCGAAAAATCGGTCAAAAACAAGACTTCGACTCGGAAGCAAAAACAGTTTAAAAAATCATAATCAACTTCAATACGTCCACTTTAAACAGATTATGACATTAAAGTAAATTCATTTTCAAAAAATGATAATTAATTGTTGGCTAATGAATGAGGAAATATGCAATAAATTAATTTTAGAAACTATTCTCACGGGAGAACGTCAATGTCTCTGATTTCATTCAAATAAACCAAATGAATATTTTGTATCACTTTTCTTCCACTCCAAATCTCCACCCCCTCCTTTCATCTATTTGTCAACTGCATAATTCACCTTGAAAATTGGCCATACCATAACGACATGAATTATCCCCATAACCATGTCGATATAAACATACACGTTGGAATTAATGATACACCAGTTAGTTACGCGTCAGTTGATTTTCCCAGGGCACAATCAGGGGGGTCGAAAGGGGCTCTTTGAGTTCTTTCGGGCACATAGGGTAACTGCCTGTGTCACTGTGGCTAATTTCAGGGATGGACACAACGTCGACGCGTGTTGCCACAGTAAATGGAGTGTGTTTAAATCAATTGTTGATGATGGAGAGAAAAGGGATCTTGTCTTCTGAGGTATTTAACAAATCCTATCACGAATTAATGAGAGAATCTCTCTAAAAAAATCCTGGAAATGTTTACGAAATTTTTTCTGCCTCTGTTCTGTTTTTTGAACGAGAAAAAGGAGCAAATGGACGAGTGGACTGCATTGGAAAAAATAACGAAGATGATTCCAGACTAATTCATTTATTGATTCATTTCCTGCGGGACAGAGTGATTGGACTCTATCTGGCTATTTGGGTCAATAGATCAATGAGAAATCTGTTCCACGGGAGTCGGATATAAACCGCAAACAAAACCAAAATATTTCCCACCACTGTCTCTCCCCCTCAGAACGTGACAAATTGAGATAAATAATCGTTTACGTCAGATACAATACTGAGTACTTCAGGACAGACCGGTTCGCATACTTGAAAACTCCACTTGAGAATTTATTTTGCGATATCAATGACAAACGATTGTTATCATTTTATGTCATTCCCTTTGATCACAAAATTTTGCAATTTTTTCATACGCCTAAACTCGTTCATTGAATTCACTATTTTTATTTTTAATAAAATTCTGCGCAGAATTGGAAAAAGGTGATTTGTTAAGACGAATTTTTCATTTTAAGTGATGAACTTTGGAAAAAATTATGAAATACGAAATAACATAAGGTACAGTGGAGTAAAACGGGCAGGGGCGGGGGAGGGGGGTGACGGGCGGAGGAAGAAGAATGAGATGAATGAAATACTATAGAAATGGATTCTTGTTTGGTCAACTCCGTGCAGCAATAAAACAATTGAATGAAAGTAATTATCAATAACTCCTACACTGTTGAACATTTTCTATTGAAATATCCGGTTAGAGCCTTGAAAATTTCTAACATTTCCACTAAAATTTCCAAGAAATTTTTTCATTGAAAATTTTCCATTTCATGGAAAAATCCCTGGAAACTGTAAATTTCAGCTTTATTATTCCAAGAAAAATAAGAAATTTTTCGCGTCTCTAGAGTAGAGTAAAATTTTGCTATCTCTCTTAGATTCCGAGATATTCATCAAAAAATGGCCAAAAGTAAAAATCGACTTAACCCGGTTTACCGCTTCGCTACTGAATTATATACAGTATATACATGTATGAAAACTAGTCTAAAAAAATAATGTGAAATATTGTTTTTTAAATAAACTTATGGCCAATTAACGGCTCTCGAGTTTAAACTGGATATTGAGATTGTGTTTCTCTATTTGATTATCAAAAATACACCTATTAATAATTAATGATGCGCATTATTATATGCTACCAGTATTTGTTTACAACTAAAGTGCCCAAAAAAGTAGAGAAAAATAGGGTTGCTCTGTTTTGAAAAAAAGGCACTAAAATATTTGCGAACAGTGTGGTTGTGAAAATGTAAGAAATACTTACAATTTTTATGATTTTTATCATAACAGGGTATCGGGTTTAGATTCTTCGATATTTTTCGTGAGGCAACGAACTTACCCACTGCGCCAAGCCACCGGGCTCACAAGAAAATTCGTGTCAATTGTAGAATTTCAGTCTTCGTGCCGCAAGAAAAATGAAGACTTTACTTGAATTTTCTGAGAAACTTAAAATTCCATCGATGTTTCCAATTAAATCGAATTCAAGATCTTATCCCGGAAAATTCAGCCAATTTTTTTACCAATCTACTTTTTATTTATTAATAATTCCCACGAGGATTTTAGTTATTGCAAATAGAAGTAATGAATTCATTGAATTCAAAGAAATCATTGAAGACTCGAGGTTCATTGAAACGATTATATAGCAAACCGACAGCCTGAGAAATTGACCGGATCAAATATTAGCCTTATCGTGTGTATTTTAATTCAACAATGAGTGGCACGGGTGGAATATTCAAATGAGATAGTGGTTTTGAATCGTACCACAGTGCTGCACAATTATGCGAGGTGTTAATACGATGACAATAAGTTTTCATACGGGGGGTTGTTGGTACACGAGCGCAAGGGCGAGGGGGGCTGTGTGGTATTGTACGACAGGCGCCGCGTACTACAAGTTTGTGAAACCATCCGGGACTTTACTGAGATCCTCAAGACAAGAGCAATTGTTCTGCTTTATTGGATTAAAGTTTTCGAATTTAATTCAATCACAATGAATAAAATGAGAAAGAAAATACAAGAAAGTTCTGATTAAAAAATGAGAACATTGAAATTATTTTCAAATAACAAAATTATATTTATAATAGAATTGGATTTTTAAGGTATTTATGCATCGCAGACTCGTCAATTACATTGGGAAAATTTCAATTGAAATTTCAAGTTTATAGCCATTATAATTTGTTGAATCAAAATTTATTCAATCTAAAAATACAGATCCTGACGAGTTTGATTCTTTTATCAATTTGAGAGATGTTGAGGAGACTTATGAGATGCACTGAGAAAAAAAATTACTTTTGCTAAGGAATCATTTTCTTGGGAGAAGAACTTCAAAATCATTGCGAAAAAATATTGTCCGGACTAGGTGTAAAACAGTAATTGTAGCACCAATGAAATAAATTCCATTCTATTCTATTGTCCGGACTGTTGTAATGGTTTTTTTTCACTCGTGTGGTTGGCCAGAACAATTGTTCTGCTTCATTGGACTAAAGTTTTCGAATTTAATTCAATCATACTGAATAGAATGAGAAAGAACATACGACAATTTCTGATTAAAAAATGAGGGCATTCAAATGATTTTCAAATAAAAAAAATTGTCAAAAAAAATTAGTTGAATCGTCTTACCGCTTCAAAGCATTCGTCATTCTCATAGAAAATAATGGAATCGATAATAACTTACCTCATCACCAATTAAATCTGTCCTTTAAAATGTTCCTGACACCACACCATTAAAATTTGCCAATACCCATTCGAACAAGCCCCAACAATTCTCAACACCAGAACAATTCAACTACTCTAAACTTCCCCTTATTAACCGAAGCAACGAATCTGTTCACAAAAAAAAAATCTCCACTTCTCACCTTGATCCCCAATAAACTAACCACCGCTGCATCGAGGGATCAAGACATGCGGGTACTGTAAAATCCTGGAAAAACAGTAATTTTCCCTACTCTTCGCAATAAATTTCATCCGGTAGAGCTATTTGAACCGAATTTAGGGTGCGAACATGTCAATTTTTCTGATATATTTTTCTTCCGTGTAGAATTTATTAAAGAGAATTTACTTTGTTTTGTGAGTATTAGAATTTAAAATTGCAATTTACTAATGTTTTAGGAGGTTCGTAAAGATTGTTGTGATCATTTTCGAAGTCGTGTTAGACAAGACTCTCATTTTCAAAAAAATTGGCTTCCTTACTGAATTCCTTCATAGAAAATAATGGAATCGATAATAACTTACCTCATCACCAATTAAATCTGTCCTTTAAAATGTTCCTGACACCACCCCATTAAAATTTGCCAATACCCATTCGAACAAGCCCCAACAATTCTCAACACTCGAACAATTCAACTACTCTAAACTTCCCCTTATTAACCGAAGCAAAAGAATCTGTTCATAAAAAAAAAATCTCCACTTCTCACCTTGATCCCCAATGAACTAATCACCGCCGCATCGATCCACTCT